GAAAGAGGCTTACTTATTAAATGATGCACCATAACAGATAACACAGGGGACAGCTGGACTGAGGATAGAATTTCTGCTTTGAAGAAAAACGAAAAATAAGTGTCACAAGATCTTTTAAAGAACAGCCATGAGTAACAGCCAGGAGTGGGCTGGGAGTTTACATTCAAGTGAGGCTTCTCTCCCAGCAGCAGACCTGTCATCTCTTATTACTTGTTTAAGGCACTGAACCAACTATTATGACAACAGGAGAACCAACTTTCCACAAAACAGTCACTGAAAAAAGAACCACCTCCAACAGCACTTTGTTAGAAAGGAAATTTAGTAACTTTATCATAGAATCATAGAATGGGTTGGGTTGGAAGAGGTCTTAAAGATCATCTAGCTCCAATTCACCTGTATGGGCTGGGATGCCATTCACTAGATCAGGTTCCTCAGGAGCCCATCCAACCTGTCCTTGAACACTTCCAGGGATGAACTTCTCTAGGCAACCTGCTCCAGCTCCTCAGCACCCAACCCTCACAGTGAAGAATTTCTTCATGACATCTAATTTAAATCTCTCATCTTTTATTTTAAAACCTTTCCCCCTTGTCCTATCATGATCTGCCCATGTAAAAAGCCACACTCCCTCTTTTTTATAAGTCCCCTTAAGACACTGGAAGGTTTCCTTGGACTCTTTTCTTCTCCAGGCTGTACAAGCCCAACCCTCTCAGCCTGTCTTCACAGGAGTGGTGCTCCAGCCCTCCAGTCACTTTCTTCTAGGAGCACAATAGTCTGATCTCCACTGACTTCAGGCTCAGGGATCTATCCAAGGTAGTAAGTATGTCCTTCATGCTCTTTTTCATTCCTTCACTCAACCTTTATCTCCAGGCTTCCACTTTAATGTGCTCTCTCTGAACTGGATCCACTGCACCTACGTGTAAGGACAAGCAGCACTGTTCACAAACCAGGAAAAGCTCATGGGCTCTAGAGATGCAAACTCCAAAGGTCACTAAATGTAGTAAGGAGTCCATTGAAGCTCCAGAAGGTTTGGCCCTGGCTGTGCTCTGAAGAAGTTGATCATTTGGTGAAGGGACAGACAGTGGCACCACCAACACCCTGCTCAGGTTGTCATTACCTGTATTACCAAGGGGTTGGGTACAGTGTGTTCACATTTTGATATACCAGTATATTTAAGTGAGGACAGCACATTATCCCTTCCCATGGCAGAGGGGTTGGAACTAGATGATCTTTAAGGTCCCTTCCAACCTAAACTATTCTATGACTAAGGGAGGAACATAGTGGCTTAGCATCATCCCTGTGGTGACCAAGCTTCTCTAAATGCCCCAAGTGAAGGCAAACCTTTGTCTCATTGCAGCCAACACCTGGCCTAGACCTAAAAGAGGCAAGAAGCAGGAGCCCTGGTCTGATCCCAGCCCGTGGGAGATGCCTGCATGTGGAATAGCTGGAGGCTCAGCCCTTCTCTCCCCTGGGCTCATGGGCACAGAGGTCCAGCCCAAGGATCACAGGCCCCTCTCCCTGAAATGTCTGGATAAACCACAAAATAAAAGTCAGGGACAAGTTCTTAAAACAATCATTTGTACTCTTACAGCAAAACAGCCAGGACTAAATCAGAAGCAAATGTCCACTGCTGTCAGGGCTGAGTCAGCAGGTGCTTTTGATAAAACCATCATTTCTGCTCAGAAAAAAACACGAGGGTTAGCCAAACACTTAGCACAAGAAAATCCTTGCATGTCAGCTTGGATGGGGAGGGGGGAGAACTCTGGTGTAAACAGGGGTGGAAGTCTTTTCCTTCCTAGAAACACAGGATACCAAAATATAAGCATTAGTTAAATTCTGCACTAAACTTCATCCCGTTTACATCTGCAACTTGTAGTGATGCCTGGTTAAAAGCTGAAAAGAAGTTGTGGTTTTGTGTCATCTGCAATTGTTTGCTGCTCTCATTTCTAATGTAAAACTCAAAATGAAAAATGACATTTTCCAATGTTTTTATTTTCTTCTGATTTTTTTCCTAATTCTGGCTTCATCCCAACCCTCCACTTTCTCTGAAATAATATGGGAGAAAAGTAGAGAAAAGAGAGAAAGTGTAATGAAATATTACACTGAAAACATTGCAAAACTAATAGAAAAGCTGTTTTTTATTCTTTAATTTTGCTTTTTTAATTCAAAGAAAGGTAAAAAAATAGCATTCATAAAGCCATTTCACAGGCTGAGTGCAGAGCAGAAATTCTCCATCTCACATATTGCTAGAGTAAAGCCCTAGATTCTACTCTTTTTGCTGTAATGATAGAATCATAGACATTCATAAAGCCATTTCACAGGCTGAGTACAGAGCAGAAATTCTCCATGTCACATATTGCTAGAGTAAAGCTCTAGATCCTACTCTTTTGCTGTAATGATAGAATCATAGAATAGATTGGGCTGGAAGGGACCTTAAAGATCACCTAGTTCAAATCTTCATATAATAAATGTTAAGTAATAAATGGTAAGTGTAAATGTTAAGTGGTCTAAACTGTAACAAAAGAGAGAACTATAAGAATGAGCAATGGTTGTACAGCTTATTACTGTGTGTTCATACAAGGCAATTCTTCTGTCTGAAGACTCAAAAACCAAAGACCAGATGGTTTTTGTTGACCCTGCCCAATCACCAAACTCCTGTCAAAGCAAGATCAGCTGAATTCACTTAAGGGAAATAGTAGGAGCAGGGGAAAAATTAAAAATAGAGATAAAAAGTTTCACTTCATGTAATGCTTTCTGGAAATGCAGGCTGACCTTTTAAAAAAAATAAATTAGCCTGTAAATTATTTAAACAAAAACCAAAGAACAACCAATCAGACTTCTTGGGTGTTCATGAGATCCCAAACAACTTGATCTGTTAGGTGATATCCCTGTCCATGGCAGGGTGGTTAGAATTGGATGTCCCTTCCAACCCAAGCCATTCTATGATTCTGTGATACATTGTTCCTGGGGATTTTTTAAAACCTGAATTTTCAACAGCCATAAATATTTGTAGTGATATCTTCTATCATGATCCACAATAAAAAAAGCACAACTGCTCCATCCTGGACAGAGCCAGAAATGCCCATGCAGGAAGGCTCAAGGTAAGTAAGAGTAGAACGAAGCTGCTGAGTGCTCTGCCCAGAGAAACATCCCAGCTACCCCATGAACAGGGCCTTACACCTCATGTTCTTATCTATGATCAGTCTCTGAGTATGCTCAGAGGGAAAAAAAAGCTGTTTTAACTGGAGACAGTTTTGCAGCATCTTAACAATCAAGGGCCGATCACACCTGTCAGAAGACATTGTCTAACTCAAAGTACACTGTGACATCAGTTTCTAAACTGTATATTCAATTCTAATTCAATACTAACCATATGATGACTCTATAAAAACTTCTGGGAGAAACCAAAAGCTTTGAGGCTGAGAGGCATAATTAGACTTTACTTCAGGAAGGCTGAGGACTGTTCGATGGATGACTTACTTTGTTTTTTTCAAACTATTCATCCTTGAGAACCAGCATTTTGCAGCTGTGTTTGAGCAGCAGTAACCTCTCCCAGCTTGCAAGGATATGTTACCAAGTTAGATACTTTACAGCAGGAGCCCAGAGGGTGATGTTATGTTGCAGCTGTGAGGTCATGCCAAAAATAGCCTATTTCCCATTAATACCCTGATGAGGGATAATTTTACAAAGAAATTAATAATTCTGCTTCTCTCTCATTAGCCCTCTCATTATTCTTTTAGGTTTCCAAGCAGAGAGCAGGAGGTCAGAACACATGAAAAACTGTCAGTCATCTGAGAGTGAAGAAAACCTGCTTCTCTCTCTTCCCTTACCAGAAATAACTTTCCCAATGTAGTCAAGAAACACAAAACTAAGGAGAAATGTGGCTTAAGGCAGAGGCCACAACTATGAGAAAGTGAATCCCCATAAGCTGCAGTGATGAGTCTCCTCATAAGGAGGTTTCACTTATGTGAGATCAAAACATATCCAAAATATTCTTTTACTAATTACCTAGGCACTGGCTGTCTGTAAGGAGATCCTCTGTTTCAGTCCAGTCCAGTGCTGCTCCAAAGCTATCGACACAGAAGGATTTCTTAGTGTCAGAGTCTTGCTGGGAAGGTCTATATTGGCCATCTTCATCACACTGCAGACCCTGGTCATTGCTCTGACAGTATGTGATACCTGTTACAAGTAAACAAGCAAAGAAGAAAAAGTTACTTTGATAATACTGTCACTGGGCTTCACAGAGTGGCTGAATCCAACCCCACTGCTCAGGCAGGGTGACCTAGAGCTGGTTGCCCAGGACCACATCAGGATGACTTTGGACCATCTCCAAGGTTAGAGACTCCACAACCTCCCTGGGCAACCTGGCCCAGTGCTCAGTCATCCTTACAGCAAAAACAATGTTCTGTGATGTTCAGAGGGAATCTCCTGTGCTTCAGCTGTGCTCATTACTCTGGTCCTGTCAATGCAGTCGAACAATGTCTCAATGCTGTCAGACAAAAGTACTGCAGAGGCTTCACTAAAACTTAATCCATGATTAGCATGGTGTTTCGTGCTCTGAAACACGATAGTCTCACTGCATTTTTGTTAGTGCAATTTGTGTTTCAAACATTTTTCAGATTCTGTGTAATGGATTAAATCTCTGTTGATGTAACTCCAACACTGTAAAGCAAAGAAGGAACTGTATTTTCATACAGGTTTATTCAGTGCCTGCTGCAGTGGATCTGCAGAATGTTTTTAACAACAGCACAAGAGCCATCACACCAATTAGTTCAGAAAAACTCTTTAGACTTTGTTAGGAGACAGCAGGGAAAGAAAGAAAGCAGGAAGCTAATGTGTACAACCTGCCTTTTGGATCCAGCTGGCACTGAGATGTAGACACAGGTAAAGTGGAAACCAGGCAGGGAGCAGGTTTAGTAAAGAAAACTGCAAGTGCAAAAAAAAAAACCCTAAAGGGCAAACTTTTAAGTATATGAGTCCAATAGCTACACAGGGAACACACATGGAAATAAAGAATGACAACTTTAGGAAAAAGCTAATTGATGTCAGTTTTACAATAAAACTGGGGGGTTTATCCCACCTAAGAGAACAAATTGCTTGAAACAGAATGAAGCAGACCTTATACTCACTGAACCTCCCAAGAAACCAGTTCTTACTACTCAATTTTATTTTATCCGTGAGCTAATTCTGCAGACAAAACTAAATTTGAACTTAAGTGATTTTCTGTATGGAACTGCATGCAAAAATAAATGATTCAAACTGAATAGCCCAAATGTAGTGAACATATCGATAGTTTGCATTGTGAGACATGTTTGTAGTTGGAGAAGGGAGTTGAGCAAAGACAAGACTACTTTAGTGTTCAAGAAAGCAACAATAAATGAACTGCATAAGGTGTTTCTCACTGATACTGAACACCCAACACCATTCCTGAGGATGACGAACATGTCTAAAGAAACCACAACATCCTGGATGAGACTGACCACTCATTTCTCATGCACTTTTGGTCAAAACACCAGACAGTTTGTTCTCTTTGTAAAATGCCTTTGAATGTATGCAGAAGGGATCATATCCATCCAGAAACTCCCAGAGGGAGGATTTTTTTTAAAACTTACAGATGAAAAAAAAATTCATTAGTTATTTGAAGCCAGAATATAAAGGATATGGAAAAAATGAGTTCAACTTACAGTGATCGGTGCTGATTGCCCCATAGGAGTTGGTAGTTTTGCCCACAGGACACTTGATACAGGAGGAATGTCCTGTCTGGTACTGATAGTAGCCAAGAGGACAGGGAATGCATTCATTGTTCTGGAAAAGACTGCCTGGAGGACAAACAACTGCAAAGAGAAAAATCACCTTATTACTCCTTTAGAATTCAATCACTTCAGGCATTTGCACACATATGTGTGTACGTGTATGTGTGTGTATAT